TATATATATATATATATATATATATATATGAATATGAATATGTATATATATATATACATATATGTGTATATACACCAAACGTGGGGTTTTGTAGCCAGTGTGTTAGGGTACTTCTGCATCGTATTTTTCTGGATCGGTCTCTGACGTTCATGCCCTTTTCCTTATGAAGGTACATAATTTTGCAAGTCACCATACGAGTGCTTGTTTTCGTGAGATTCGGTTTAATGGGATTTATAAAAAGGACTACGAATCACGCACATCATGCATTATGAGTACAACGTCTTTGTGAACTTGGTTTAAGGATGTTGAATGGCTCGTGTCTCGTGTGAAAATTTTCAAACTTAGAGCACATAACAGAGTGATTAGGAGCGTGCTTCGAGAGATCCTTGCGAGAAATCCGAAGGGATGCGCCTGCACACTGGCAAGGGTTGGCCGGGTTCGAGAACCTCCCAGTTTGCCTCCGTCACGTCTGGTTTATGGTATAATATAGCAACCGCGGTAAGCGCAATGCTGCTTTTCCTTATTCCTGCATGAAGACGATTTTTTGCATCGCATGTTTTCGGTCATTTTTGCGTGAATAAGGCAATGGCAACAATTTTCGATGGTCACAAAAGTCAAACCACTGAGCCCAAGCTCGTTGGGATTTACACTCTCATCTCTGGCTACGGGCAGAGGTGTGCGACAAAGATACCGACATCGATACCAGTCTGGTCCCGACGTTATCGGTCAGGACACCTGTCCGCAATTCAGCACCAGTTGATGGTCAAGGAAGCCCTGACGTGAGCATGACGAAGCCAGCAAATACTACGTCATTGTGGCCATGTTTCAAAAAAACAAATACGTAATCGATGCCGGTGCCGGCAAGGTGTGCTCACACAAGTCACGCTCTCTGAATACTTTGATGTGACCCTTGTCGCCCATCATGAGGTCCCGCCTGATCGCTGTACTAATCGCTTGGTGCGACCACAAAAAGCGTCTCTTAAATGAAGCCACGCACGACATCATTTAGGTAGACTTTCAAGCTGGTACGGAACGGGTTCCCGGGAGAAAAAGTGGGGATCACGGACCGCGTTGATTTTTCCGACAATTTCCACTGTCGTGCAGTGAGAAGCCGGCGAGGATTGCTGCGCCCTTCGCCAGGTGCAGTCAGTGGTGACTGTGTGACGGACTGGTGACGGACTGAGCAGAAGCCATTTCAACAGCCGTCAGTGACATTCTCCCGGACGTCAAATACGAACACCGCTCGCTGGTCCCACGTGAAAACAAGCTGAAGAAACTGGACTGCGAAAGGAGGCAAGGCTCTCGCACATAGGAGATGTGCTAGCTTGCTTTCGCTCGGACCCATTGCAACATGTTCATCCGATCAGTTCTGATCCGATCATCCGATCAGTTCCGATCCGATCATCTGATCAGGTCCGATCTGATCATCTATCAGGTCCGATCCGATCATGTGATCAGGTCCGATCCCATCATCCGATGAGGTCTGATCCCACCATCCGATCAGGTACGATCAGATGATGGGATCAGTTCCGATCCCATCATCCAATTAGGTACGATCCGATTATCCGATCAGCTCCGATCCGATCACCTGATCAGGTCCGATCCGATCAGTTCCGATCCGATCATCCAATCAGTTCCCAACCGATCATCCCACCACCACTTCATCCGTCTTCCCGCTCGCAAAGAGGAAGCGTCGAGCTTGCAACGGAGTTGTCCAGCGCTCCCGGCGTGCGTTGCACGGTCGGCTGTGACTGACCGCTGCATCGGGCGGCGAGCGGTCGGCGGTGGAAAGCCAAGGCATCGGAGGGCGCGTGGTCGGCGGTAATAGGCCGCTGCATCGGACGGCGCGCGGCCAGCGGTGGCAGACCGCTGCATCGAACGGCGCGTGGTCGGCGGTGGAAGGCTAATACATTGGACGGCGCGCCGTGCCGTAGGTCGGCCCGGCGGCGTGCAGCCGATGGTGATTCTTCCGAGTGAGGCATACACATATCGGCTGGCGATCACGTAAATATCGTCAGGGAGGACCAAACGGTGGTTTTCTTGGAAGTGTTTGAAAAGGAAAAAAAATCTGGTACATTTACGCCATATTTGCTTGAATAATAAAACGAGCAGGAACAAAGCAGGATGGTGAGCAGGGCGTTCATAAGTGAATGTGGACCAAAGAACGTATTCACAGCACCAGATGCACACACACAATAACACACCGAGTGCGTCCATCAAAAACCACCAGTCGGACATGTTACATGCCGTGGACGGTTCCGTGAATGGGCTGTCTAGAGGCCTTCACGGGTAAGATAATCGCTATCCGATTTACCACTATCCATGGGGCTCTGCCCAAACTCACCCACTGCCCGTGCCCAATCAGCTGCGCTCACCCGTCGGGTACTTTACAGCACTTCAATTCTAATTTATGGAAAAGTTGAAAGTTTGCACCCAAAGTTACTTGTAAGCGTTGGTGGTTGCAAAAGTTGTGTGAGCGGAGCTAGATATGTCTAAAATAAGTGCTGTCAATAGCACTACGTAGCATTTAAGTATGTACTCGACACCTCATAAGCGTCTCACTCACGCCTGGGCCCATACCTGTAGTCCTCCCAAAATATCTACGCAGGCCAGTTCGCTACCCTTTCTGTTTGAGTGCCCACGGCTTCACCCAACCATCGAAGCCCTCTAGTGCCAGCTGGTCACGTCAGGGTAGCCGTCAGCCTCCCAGTTCATCCCACCGGGACCTGAGCTGCGGCAGCGGGCGGCAGTCGGCCCCCTGGCGACCGGAATAACATCGACCGGCCTCCACCTCCACGTCAGCGCCTGTCACCGTCGCCGCGAGCGCGCTCTCCGGGTGCGCGAGGAAGTGGGCGCTCTGCTCGATTACCTCTGTTGTGCTCCTCTGCACGTCGCCTGACAGCGCTGTGAAGGGACGCGTGAACGCCAACGGGTGTGCGCCACTCGATGTGAAACCGTGTCGAGATTCGGTACGGAGGCACATTGGCCCGTAAAACCGGCGCACGAGCGTGGCCACACCAATCAGGTCAGGACTGACTTATGAATTAGCAATCGCATTGCATCGTCCTAATGCAACATTGATGCATGATTAGGACTGAATCCTGACAAGGACTTCGGCGATAGGCCCGAAAGTGCATTGGTGCTTCTTGTGGTGAGGCGTGATTCCAGTCGCCAGGGTGAATGACCGTGTATTACATCATAAGCATCTTCACGGTGTATGTTCAGGGCATTTTCGCGCAGATGGTGTGAAAAGTGCAGCTGTAGGCTTGCGCTCCCACGATGAGCAAATATTTCGCCTTTTCACTAACGCGTGATGTTGAAAGGCTTGATGTAATCCAACTGTCTCGCACCCGCCTTGAAACCTAAAGCAAGAAAGGCAAAACGCGACAGCAGAAAGACGCCGATGATAAACACTGTCCACGGTAAGGCCTGCTTATATTCGCCACTTTGTGAGGCAAGTCGGCCAGCGTCCGCGCTTTCACTTGCCCATGCATCTGGGTGCGGTCGTTCGACCCAACCATCGGCAGTTTATACCACCTGCTCCAGCGAGCAGACTGCCTGGGCGCGATTAATAGTCGGCAAGTCGATCAATGTTGTCGCTAACCAGCTTAAGAGATCTAGTCGCGGATTTTCCACCTTATGGGAAAGCCAGTTGTAGCGCTCCACCCGCAAAATTGCCGTCGCTTTTGAAATTCAGTCACAGTAGCGTGAGATAGAATATACATCGGTCTCACGTACTCACACAACGGCATAGCATACCCGAACTTAAGTAGAAATGATTATATAATGACATAATAATAAATATATAATTATAAAAGATGATTAAGTAAAAAGAGCAATCGCGTGAAAACGCCAGACCTAACTCGAGGCCCACAGACTTCAGGCTACTTGCATCGAAAAATTTACAATTACGAGAAATCGAAGAAATAGTCATTAAATCGCATAAACCATTCACACATGTAGCCATTATATTTAAGTACAGCTTCACCATGCGCGGTTACCACCATACAACGTGCTGAAAACCCCAATATGGTTAATACAAGTGCGAACGAGCTTGTCTACTGCTGAATAAGAATGCCTGCAGTCCAGGGGAGACTCGCGTTTACCAAGGTGACTCGCATTTGACGCGAGACGTACGCAGTACAATATAACGCGACGTATTCGGCGTAAACGAAGCGTGTATGACAAGACGCATCCAGGTGTTTGTTGGCAGAAAGGACAAATGAGTTTTTTTTTGCGCCAACTCGCAGTCTTTGTTCGCTTTTTTTCTGCTCGGCATCCACCCAACCAAAGCACAACAGAGCCAGACAACAGACGGATTTTGTACGAACGCCCTGTGGAGCAAACCTGTACGAGACGCTCGCCCATTGCGGCGCGCGTGAAACCACACGCCAATCCGCACGTGACATCCGGCTCCGTCCCGCGAGTCCAGACGGGTGTCCGAAGAGGTGTACGGGGTCTGCCCTCGACCGGTCGTACCCCGACCGGTCTCAGCCGGTCTCACCTGTCAGGGGGCAGTCCTCAGTCGGTCTCACGTGCCAGCGGGCAGTCCTCAGCCGGTCTTACCTGCCAGCAGGCAGTCCTCAGCCGGTCTTACCTGTCAGCGGGCAGTCCTCAGCCGGCCTCACCTACCAGCGGGCAGTCCTCAGCCAGTCTCACCTGTCAGCGGGCAGTCTTCAGCCGGTCTTACCTGTCAGGGGGCAGTCCTCAGTCGGTCTCACGTGCCAGCGGGCAGTCCTCAGCCGGTCTTACCTGCCAGCGGGCAGTCCTCAGCCGGTCTCACCTATCAGCGGGCAGTCCTCAGCCGGCCTCACCTGCCAGCGGGCAGCCCTCAGCCTGTCTCACCTACCAGCGGGCAGTCCTCAGCCTGTCTCACCCGTCAGCGGGCAGTCCTCAGCCGGTCTTACCTGTCAGGGGGCAGTCCTCAGCCGGTGTCACCTACCAGCGGGCAGTCCTCATCCAGTCTCACCTGCCAGCGGGCAGTCCTCGCCCAGTCTCACCTGCCAGCGGGCAGTCCGCGGTCGCAAGCTGACCCGGGATCGCCCGGCGCCAAAGCGCTCGCACGATCTGGCTGTAGGTGAAGACCATGAAGCAGAGCGGCAGCAGGTACAGGCCGACGAACGATGCAACGACGGCGTGTAGCTCCCAGCCGACCCATGTCGGCGCGCAGGACGAATAGTAGACGGTGCCCTTAGGGCTCCAGGGAAGCGCGTGCACCTCCGACCACACCATGTACGGGATGCCTGCGGCACGGAACACCGAGTACGGGGTACCGATGGGTGGGGGCGCCATCTGCACAATACCTACAGTTCTGGAACATAGCATGCGAAATGTCTGCAATCCTGGAAGTGGCATGTACAGAATGGCTGCGTGATCGACTGAACCATCAGTGCATCGGGATCCACCTCTGCAGGAACCAAGAGTCGAATGACCGTTGAACATGTTCTAGGTCAAGCGCGTCCTATCTGACAACTAGTACACTTCTATTACCCTTCCTATCAAATCCGTCTCGCGGCAAATTTCTGTTTACATCTGTCTGTCACAGACCAGATGCCACCTGCCGTATGCATGAGCTTGTTGGTTGCACTGCTCCCGGGTTGGCGGAGAGCCACCGATCAAGCTGCGGTGACCGTGCGCTTACTGATCGCGATGGAGACGCCCCAGATGACGGCGATGGCCTTCTTGGCCCATCTGGCCGTGGCGAGGAACCGCAGCGGGTGGCACATGGCGTACCACCGGTCCAGCGAGATGACGGTGAGCGTCAGCACGGAGACTGCCGCCGACATCCACTGGAACGGAGACGGGCCCGTGTCAGGCGCCGGCTGAACCTGGCGGGCTGGCGGCTACGATGGCGAGCAGAAGAGGGTGGATGAGGCAGGCGGTTGCGTGAAGCCCGGTTTATAGAATAGGTAGACCAATCGGTCTCAGTCGAATTGAACGGTCACGCCCCAATAACCGTTTTCTCATCTCGTCTGTCCGTCTCACCTGCACAAAATCTGTCTTATCGAGACCAGTGGTGTGTGTTGTCTGCATAATAACAAAGCCTGGGTTTGAATTCTCTAGTACCCAAATTTGTTTAGCGTGAATTCGAAGCAAAAACTCGCAATTTTCCGACGTGCAAAGTCCCGACCAAACTGGTAACACGACTCTGAACGGTATCATTACTTGCGTTCTGGTCGCCAACCGGCTGGCCATGAAGCCTAGCCGTGGCTGCCACAACTTACCGCAGCTCAAAGCCGCAGTAGGCGCAAGATGGCGCTGCTCGTCGCCGCGCTGAGGCTATGACTGAGCTGATTGGTGTTGTTCGAAGATCACTCCACTCGCGTTGCAGCCCACTGGCCTTTATTCGCGGCGTGCGGGGTATAATGTATGGCAATACAGGTGTCACGGCCATAGAAGTGCGTTTCACAGCATGATTCATGTCCCGGAGATATTCTTAAGAGACTCTGGCGTAGCAAAACTGTGAGAAGGAGCATTTTTCAAAGGAACATTAAGAATAATGTCATTTTCAACAAGAATTGATGTGACCGTTGCCACATATTTCATACTGTACTGTCCACCCATGCGTTTAATATAAGTCTTTGCCACTAACCCGAAACTACGCAAGCGTCGTTGGAGGGAGGTTCAACCTTCCTACATACCGCAGCATTACCGCTTGCGTGCGGTGAGAGGAATGGGTGATTTCCATCTTTCCATGGTAGGTAGTGCGTGTCTTTACCAAGCGATATGATACATATTGGTGACAAGTGTCACGATGTTGATTTATGTGACGCAAGTTCAATGTGCTGCCGGACTGGCGTCCGGGTGTTATCGCCCTCGCTGTGCTGTGTGTCTGCACAGCTGTGTGTCTGCTGAACCAGAACATAGACAGAGAGCAAGCACATCACATTGCCAGCCGGCTCTCGGTGCTGGCTGGCGGCAGCGGACGGCGGAGATTAATAATGCGGCATCCATCAAGAGCTGGCGCAAGGTTCAGCGCTTTGCCTTACAGAATTGGCGATATTGACGACGCATGTAAGCATAAACTATTGGACGCGAGCGTCGCCAGTGTATGCGGTGTGTTTCTATTGTTGGCAGCTGGATCTCCAAGAGGAAGTGCTGGATCGGTGGACGAGGTGAAGCCCCACCCGGCCTGGTTCATTTCTGGATGACGTCAGCGAATTTTTATCTGTGTTTGTGAGTCGTCTTCGCCCCTGGTACGGTCAAGCGACTGTCCCGAAACAACCCGCGGCATCGCACCAGGCTGCACGGCTTAAGACGCTACTTATCGATCACGCTCTCTATATTTAGGACCGTCTAGAGCCCGCTGCTTGCTATTTTCTTAATACTTTATGTGTCACCGCGTTTCGATTGTTGACTGCTCACGCGCATGGCATTGATAATCTGTGGAAGATGGCAGGGACTGGAGCAGAGCGCTCTAAGATTGATAAAAAAAACGAGCAAGTTTGTTACCTTTATACAGGAAGACTTCATCTACCTACAAATTGCCAGAAGGTTTCCAAAGTCCTACCTCGTGAAGTAGTGTCATCCCGCGTGAATTCTGCAGCATACCAGATCGGTTTTTAGTGCGTAGGTAAAACTTAACAAGACGCATGCAATTTCCGACGTGGATATCGACCGACGTTGACGCAGTCTAACAGTCGAAAAAAGAAAGCCTTTGCCCCCAAAAAGGAAATAAATAACCGGGTCTTCCGCTGGCAATTGGTGGTGATGCGAAAACGCCCTACAAGAAAAGGTCTGTTGGAGCGATAGTATGATGTCCGCGACGCCGGAGCGTCGTAAACCAGAGGCGTTTATGGGCCTCAAAACACGAAAACGCTTTAAAAAAGAACTGCGCAACCCATATCGCTGCGCAAGCCGTTTTTGGAATGCAATCCGGCCATCCGGAGACCGTTTATGGTTATTGATGCTGCTCCCCATGTGGAAGAGGGGTACAATCCCGACTGCGTCATGCTCGCTGCCACAATAAAAAATAGCCATGTTCGTAATACGCTTGCAACTACAACACAAGGGAAGCCATGGGCTTCTATTTTCGCGACAGTTTTTCGTCAACCCTGCGATGATACACAGATATACAAACAAGCGACATCGAAAGGGCTTTGCACACACTATTTTTGAGACGTTTCTTTTCGGATGTTTTTGCCAAAAATAAATTCAACCATTACTGCACCATTGATCACTTCTTAAAGTGCGTTCTTGAGTGTTGTTTCAAGTCACACATCGCTCCTGTGAGTGTTGCTATGACTGCTGTTCCGATACACAGAATGGTCGTTAATATATATATATATATATATATATATATATATATATATATATATATATATATATATATATTATATGCGTGCGTGCTTGCGTGCACGCGCGCGCGCGTGTATATGTGTGTGTGTACTGCGACATGCGTCCATCATCAGCACTCTATCAAGCGGCTACACTATATTTTTGCTTATTACGTTTTGCTCAGGCCTCGAACGCGTGCAAAATCCACATACATTCACACAGAGTGCGTACATTTTGGTTATTAAGCCTTATTTTTTACAGCACAAAAACATGCTGCCTTCGTGCCTGAAATATTCAAACGGTATACACACCACCACTATTTGCTTATCACATCACATCCTGTGTTTTGCATATCCAGCGACACCAGTCAGAACCATTTGGGTCAAATTTTTACCTTCCACACTACCTCAAACCAAAATTTCGCAAAACATTTGGATTTCAACACATTTTATCGCACTAGACTACAGGAGACACAACAAATTTATGACAGCTCAGGAAAGTAGCACACTAGGTTATCTAAGTCATCCAATGCTGAGCGTCTGTCAGCTGCATAATTGTGTCAATCTCAAAGAGACTTCAGACATCTGGGATCAGCCGCAGCGAGGCTGGGAACAGCCTCCAGTCAGATGACGTTGCGCCGGGTACCCGTCAGTGGCTTTAGATTTAGGTCATACAGAACGGCCGAACTTCGCGGGGCATGCGTCCTGAAGATGTGTAATGCGTGTTTCCGTTGATTTTGCTGGCATGGTTATCGCGTTTAAGGGGAGTATGCCACCTTGTTTATACTGTTCATTTATTGCTCTATCAGACCTGTCTGATTTGATCGGCACTACCGATTTTCTCAAAATCATTCCGAATAGCTCAGAATTTCGAATTGGAATCGTCCACACAAAAATTGTCACTCCTGCGGGAGAAATCTCATTGGGCTCCCTGCTCACCACTATAGAAGTAATGCAATTCATTTGCCTTCTTTTTCCAGCGTGTGTGTTCTGTACTGTATACAGCAAACTCACTTGTCAACATGCTTGTGTAATAAATTCCAAGAGAGGCTAAAATACATCTGCAGCAACGAGGATCTGCGAACATGAAGCTATTGTCCCGTAAATTAAATAAAACGTTACAGTATGTCTTCGACTTCTTCCCTATGGTGTTCTTCCCTTAGTGTCTTTTTAAGCTAAGAATCTTATCGTCTTTAATGACACACGAGTTCAAATGTCAAGCAATACGCTTCTCCGTAGCTGGCCCTTGCCGCCCGCTGTGCGATTCCTAACCGCCCATTTCAATTGACGCCATTCGTGCCAGTGTAGGGGTCACTTTTAAGCCTGCAGGCCTGTTATGTGTGGGTTTAAAAACCCAAAAGTGCTTCGCGAGTCTCAACTCAAATCACACGCTGGGTTCAAAATACTCAAAGCTCACATGCCACTCTATTATCCATGATCCGCATATCCGTCTCATGGCCTGCCACGCTCTCCGACCTCGCTCATCGCGCGGGCCGACCTCGCCACAGGCCACGCCGCGCTGAACTCACCCAGCCCCACCAATCATCCCGCTGCGTGTATTGCGTGACAGTTGGGTTCCAACCAACCAGAGGCATGCTCCGGTCAAGTCGGGGCCAACTTGCGGGACAAGACAGCTCTTGGGACTTGGTTACCTCAACACCGCAAATTCACAATGTTGACAGCCAACAAGTGCTACCTATTACTCGTAAAGGTGACAATGGCCCTAAGCAGATTCTGCGGTTGTCATGACGACGGCGATCGCGACAACTGCAGTTGTCACGAACTCAGGATACACTCTGGGGCTACAAAGAACAGAAGAAGTGTAATGCCGTCACAAAGCGCTTACAGCGTAATTTGGACTCGAAGATAAATACAATTTATACCCTTATTATGACTTGATGGTGCCGCAGTGCACCCCCAAGATGTGCACTGTATTGGACGGAAATGATCCTCATGTTTCACTGGGGTATGTTTTTGGAATACGCCCCCAAAGGTGGGACATTCCCTTCAATGCGCTGGATAACGGCGCAAGCTTTCTTGGAGTGAGAGCTTAGATGACCTCCTCACCCCAACACATATGTACACGACTGTACCATGCTGACAGGGAAAGCTCCCATGTGTCCACGGTGCATTTTTCTGAGGGATACTGGCCATTATGCTAGCAGATTCCCGTTCCCGGCTTGGCACACTGAAGGTAGCTCTGTTCCGTGTTTCTTGGGACTGCAGCCGGTCAGGGAGCGTGACGGGCCAGGTAAGCTGAGCTATCGTTTATTGCACTCTCTCGGACGCCTGCCTTATTACCGTTTGGCCCATTGTTGTCCGGTGTGGTCTGGGTCTGGAGCCGTCATTGCGGAATGGGTGTTTGAGAACGTGAACCGGGGAGAAAATGCGCAGCGGTTCAAGACACGTAAAAAGCTAGCATTTCGTCATGCCATATTTTGATCGCATTGCCGCATGCTGCAGAGGCTGAAAACAGTGTTAATTAACAGTAATTCCATTCCAAGCCTTTTTAC